CCTATGTGATTTGCATTACCTACCACATGGGGCCCCTTCGAAATTTTTAAAGGAAAATTGTGTACCTATAGTGTCCTAGTATTAATATTTGTTGTGGTAAAAATTCGTAGCCGGTGAAGACTAAATAAGAAATCTATATGTAATATGGACTATAGCAATTTTGGAATTCTGAGCACATGTCTATTTCGGCATTGTGATGGACATCTTCCCAATCGGTTCTGGTTATAAGAATGACCGCATCGTCAGCATAAGGAAAAATTTTGCCTTATAAGAAGTTACGTATATTAGGTGTAGAATGGGTGATGTGACTGTTCCTTGGGGAACCCCTGCAGTGGTAATGATAATTTCCCTTATTAGTGAGTTATCTTTTCCTATCGATATCTCCTGAGATAATAAATATATCATAAATCTGTTTTTTTTTTTATTATACAAGGACTGTACATATTTTACTTTTTAATTTAATTAATTTTTTTGGTAAAAAAGTTAAAAAATTATTTTTTTAAAACAATTGAAGATAGCCATATTATAGAGTTTATTTTTGTGAATATTTTGAGTTTTTAACAATTATTTTATTTTATGTGTAAGACGGCAAAAAACCGATACTTGTCGGGACCTCACGGGACACTTTGTATATAAAACATTAATTTTGATACAATTATTAATTTTTCCTTTTTAATATTTTTGGCGCTTGTCTCATAAATTAGGTATAATCTTATATGGGAGACTTGTAGCTATATTATGTCCTAAACATTTTGGTGTGATGCAATTTTGGAGCAATGATAATATGTATTTTTTATATATTTGGCGCTTATATCATCATAATAATACATAACATACAGACCCTGTCTCCGATAAGAACTGTTAAGTACAGTTAAATCTCATTGGAATCGTTTGAATTTTAATCCATTGGACTTACCTTTACTCAATGACGACGTATACTCTACACATATACTGTATAGCAGTGCGGTAACCTATACTTGACCGCTACTTAGTTTAAGCACAATTTTACAATATTTTTATACCAACTTGGTATAACGCTGATGATTAAAATCTCTCTACGTCTTTTGAAAAACTCTAAATACTCCTTCGGTTAGTTTTTTTGAAACGTGACGAGGTAAGTTTTTCTTAATCGGCGTTGTATGGCTCTCTAATAATACAGTCGTGTCTCGATAACAAGTGTTCATAATTCGATAATTCTTTTTTGTGCCCTTTGGAGGGTCGGAAAATGACTCAAAAATTACATAAGACTAGTTTTTTATTCCTGTGGCGATTTGATTTATCTAGACTCAACTGTATTGATGTCACACGTTCAACCGTCGTCATTTCACACTCATCGATCCAGTCAGAAAATCCATCCAGGATGGAGGATTTTTACCGATACGAGGGGTTAATATAGGTAGGTATAAAGATTCCCTTATGCATCTAGGTAGGTATACCTAAGAATAACAAACAACAAATTTTCAATTCAGTAAATCTTTTTTTCTTTATTGATATTATAGTATAATATTGACCTTACAATAAAACGAATAAGTACAAAAATATCAATATAATGTGTAAATAATAATGTATATTGTTACATGTTAAAAGTTCGTAAATGTATAACCACTGCCTAACGACATGATGCGGTGGTTATCTACTTACAAATTATTATAAATGTTCAGATAAGTATAATTTTTTTTTTATATAATAAAATGCTGCGCAAATACTTTTTGCGTCGCCTCAAACTCGCAAAATACGACCAACAACAGACATTGAAAAACGAAAAAAAAAATGTATAATTTACTTTTATATAATATGTGTATAAAATAAAAATGGGGTATTAATGATGGCAGTATTATAACCATATTAATCTGAATTTTGTTTAGGTACTATTATATTATGGCACAGTAAAAAAAAAAGAAAAACATAGCAAACATGACCAGATTGACTCAACTTATACATCTAATATGAAAAGTCTATGCGTTTATTGTATATGACCGACATAGATTTAAAAGAAAAGAAAAACGTAAGCGTATTTTCAAACGAAATTTTAAGCGTTTGAGTCTTATCTAAGTCCTATTGTTTTCTTTACGGGAACACATAAAACTTGGCATTCGATGTACGAATTCGTTAGTCTATAAATATTTGTACTAATTATTACCATTAAAAAGAAAAAATGTAAAAAGTTAAATAATCATAGCTTGATTTTTACGGCTTGTATTAAAGAAAGCATATGACAACATAGTGAATATAATAATAATAATAATAATAATAATAATAATAATAATAATAATAATATATCATATACATATACATAAAAACTGTAATATAACATTGGAAAAAAAAAAAATCTAAATCTTTACTTTTTCTTTAATATGCTTATCAACTATATCCATATATATGTATGCATATGGAAGTATGCTTGTAATATATATCTGTGGATATAAACCTAATACAGAAACAGATGTTGTATGTTCTCTACAAGACCAAAAATATTAATATTTACGATTAAGATATACTTTAAAAAAAAAAAAAAAAAAATTTATAAATATATAATAAATGAATAAAATGAAAACATGGTATTATAATCTATGTTATTATATTCCAAATATTTATTTGACTATTTCGGTTGGTAACAATTCTAAAAAGTATTTCCACTTCCTTACAGACACTCAACAGTCGCAAAGGCTGTAGAAATAAATCGGGAGAAAATAAAAGTTGAAATAGCCTGAGTGGAAAAAAAAAATAATATTTTAATATATATATATATAAATGTAATAATAATAATAATAAAAATAAAAACAACTGCGTTGATAACAGTGCAAAACTATAGAGATTAGAAAAATCTTTTTTTTATGTTTTATTATTTATATTTATATAGAATTCAACTTGGGTAGTTATATATGTATATATATATAAATATATAATATAAATATGATGTATTAAATAATATTATAGAAATTTTTCCCTAAACAACTAAAATTCACCAAATGGCATAATATATTTTATTATATGTATTATACATGTAACATCATTATAATATTACATAAATGTGTGTATGTGTTTGTGGTGAGACTTACATTCTAAAATAATTATAACGAGGCCGAAACGTTACGTTCCCCCCCTTCTCCCCGATTAACTATATCGGATTTAGCCGTCGGGACGGAGTTATATTATATATTTTTACACGCGGTTCGGGACACATCCAGGACTTATACATATTATAATATACGTTACTATTACTATTTATTATTATTAAGTATTATACGACTACTACTACTACTACTATGGAAAAAAAAAAATAATAATAAAAAATAAATCAACTTGGAACTGAGGTATGTGTGCGGTGTGCGTGTATAAAAAACACGTTTTTTTTTTGTGTTTTCGTCTTATTTCGTCCCTCCTTGCCCGAGCCGTTAACCCACGTCCCGTCGGTATGTATATGTATTATAATCCACACAACGAAGCTAATTTTGGGGGGGGAGTGGGAGAGAGACAAATCTCGGGAAGCCAATGGCTTCGTGCGGATTTGAGGCCTGCGGAAGACGTGATTTCTATCGTTTTTCTTCGTAGAATAAATCGTAAATAATGGATAATGGAGAGGGACAATGTGAATAATAGTACAACGGTGTATACTACATACTTAAAAATAAATGTTATAAAACTCTTACCGTTAACAAAAAAAAAAAAAAAAAAAATATATATAATAAAAATAAAAATAATAAATTAATTAAATTATATATCGGTATTCCCAGTGGAGCATAAAAATCTTAAATTACGTTAATGAACCTTTTTAACCATATGACGTTTGTGTTGATTTTTTTTTGTACTTTTGAAACACAGTGAATATAAAAATAAAATTAGAATGTGTAGAATGTGCTTGAAAACTTAATAACACGTTCTCCGTGTAAGTTGGGATCGGAATCAATATAATATGTATAAGATATGTGATCGTATTTCAAAACTTATATTAATTATTGTAAAAAAATATTATGGAAAACTGTATAAATGTTCGGGAATACAAAGAAAGCTACAATCGTGGGTGATATTTATCAATGGATACTTGAGCTTTTTATTTAAATATATATATGTAAAAAAAAAGACTGCCGACACAAGAGATCTTTAAAAAAAATGTCGCACCAACCATGTGCTAAACTCTGGGTCGGCGAGCCTACCTTATACGCTAAAAAAAAAAGTAAATAATATATATATATATATTATGATAAAATAATATGTAATACAATAACCATCTATTTTGATATAACTTAAAGGTTAATAAATTTTTAGGAATCTGTTTTTTATATAGGTAGCCATACCGGCACTTTGCTGTACATTTAAATCGAATCTCGGTGACGTACACGAAAACTAATAAAATATAAAACACAATTTTGTAAGATATACGTTATAAGTATTGCGTATACGCCCTCCGCGATCGGTTGTGATTCACAGAATCTATTTAGGATGTGTTTCTATGAAAATTTAATTTTTCGTTTTTGGATTATACGTTAAGCTTTTTAATGAAAATTGGTTTTAAGATATTATATGGTACATAAACAATCACCATTACACTGTTTAATGTACCGGAGCTGCTGTGGATAGTAATAATAATAATAATCTTATTATAATAACATTATATGTACGGAAACATGAAGCGTATTTTATTGCCTTCCCCATTAAAAAATAATAATAATAAAGTCAAAATAATCATAAAACCTAATCTTAAGACTACTAATAATCTTATTACAGTGTTTCTGAAAGTCAAAAATCTTACCATATGCGAGTACCTTAAACAGTATGATATAGCGTTTTATAATAAATGTCGTTGTGTGTAAAATGCGTAATATAAATGGACCGATGATTTATCACCGATTTGTTTTGGAGTAAGTGAAAATTTTTGCAGTGGATTACATATAGATAATAATAATAAAATTAAATCGGAATAAAAATTGTTTTGTTTTTTTTTTTTTTCAGTGTAGTTTTTTCCCTCGTAAATATATTGTTTTGTAAGTCTGACGACGATCTTAAATCCAACAGTTTGTGTTGTCGTCCGACTCGGCAGTCTTGTCGTACGGCTTTTCGTACATTTGGAAATCCATTTCTTTGCGTTGTCTCTTGTGGCTCTCGACCATTGCTTCGATTTGCTCTTGGCATGTCTTCAGGACCTCCTGGGGAAAAAAAAAACGACCACCGCGCGATTAATGAAAAGCTCTACAAACGCATGTCAGTTGGAGGAGGGGAGGGTGATCTTTTAATCGTCGACCAATGTGGGGAAGGTGGTGGGCGCGGAACAAATGAAACGGATCGATAAATTAATATCGCACGAGAATAAAATATTTCGACGGTTTGGGGCGTGTTGAACTCGAAGATTTAATAAATTCGTAATATCGTCAACGGTGGCACGGACTTACCAGTAAACACCATTAGCGCGAAACACGAGGTCTGCAGGAAGAGTTATGATATTATTCAGTGTATAATTTTAATTACATATCATTATACATGTCCGTATATTTCTATATTATAATCGAGTGTGTGTGTGGCGACGATTGGAGGGAGGGGAGAGCTCGAAATTTAAATATACGTGTAATGGCGACGAATTGCGACGGCGGCGGGGCCAAAGCAGTATTGTGCTGTTAATTATCATCCGATTGAAGTCGAATGAAAACATCACACGCGGGCGGCGATAATGGTAATAATAATAATTATTACTATTATAATTATACCGTCGTCGTATTGTAAATTATAATATGCATAACTGAGGTAGGCAGGTAGTCGACGATGTATATTGGTGATGATATTATATTTCCGTTTGTGTGCGCTAAAACGAATGTTTAGGACGGGTCAAACGACCATCGGACATTTAATATTATAATATAATATTACGCGTAATAGTTTAGTACCTTACGAGCACGCGATTATCATTATTTTTTGTAAATCGTAGGGGGGAGGAATCTCGCATAATGTCAAACAGACACAAGAAGTAAACACGATATTATGTTAAATCCAGAGGAAGAGATGAATTTTGGGGCGTACCCGTCTTATAAACTTGTGCAAACTCTATTTGTGTCAATAGGCTGATATTAGGGCGGTATCCGCGGATTACGGCAGCGTTATTGATCAATATAAATAATTAAGAGTTATGTAGGTACCATAACTATAGCGGTTGTATAAAATTTATGCACCGGCTTGGAGTTCAAGTCGTTCAGCTTATGAAGTTAACGTTTTTTTTTTTTTTTTTTTTTTTTTTAATAGGTATTCGTATACCTAATATAATATTATTTATAATACTTCAAAAAATTATAACTAAATATAATTTTGAAGTTTCGTAATATTATTTATTTCATTCTTGAAGAGACAATGCATAATATTAATTTGGCTAGTTTATTCGGGAGGTCAAGGGAGACAGTTGCGCCCCTAAATTTAATAGTATCCGGTCAAAGATATTGTTTTGCCCCCCGGCCCAGTTACAATCACCAATTTATTGAATGTTACAAAACTTCTTTTTTTAAAAAAAAAAAAACGAGATGGAATATTATTTTTCTGTGTGCATTTTAATTGCTAATTATATTCTATAGGCAAAGTTATCCACGTCATAATATTGATAATATGTACTAACTTGATACTATATATTTTTCACTATTTTTATAATCATAAAAAAATTCAAGGACGCATGTATTATGGACGGATTTATTTTCGGCAATAATTTATTTCCTCGATTGAAGGATAGGCGTGATTTTCCTCTCCTACTATATTTTTAGAGACAATAGGTAAAAAATTTATATTATATTTCTCTCCACCAAAAAAATTACTTTAAGTTATACAGAAAAAATCGTCATGAGATTATTATTGAATGTTACGTGCGTCTTATTAAACATGTTTCTTACATTTATTTCACCTATCTATAGTATGGGATCGTGTTATATCGCACCGTGAACACACGATATTATAATATTATTGTTAAAAAACGCTTACCTTTTTAGAACCAGTGATGACGTGCAGCTTAGTGAACAAGTCGTACTTGTAAATGGCCGCGTATTCCAGTCCATTGAGAGCAGCAGCAATGCTGGCCCCGGCGATCACGCTGGGCTTGTACGAGCAAAATTTATAGTCTGAAACACATACCGCAAACGACTTACGTTAATATCGCATGATATATTAAAAATAACAATATAACATATTGTGTACTGCAAGACCTGCTATAGACTATATTATAATGAAACACAAACACAATATTATTTTATAACGTTAGAATACCGACACACCATGGAACTATATGCATTATTATTCTATACAATATATCATGCAAATGCGCAGTGGGTACCCATTATAGCACAAAGCATAATAATATTATTATACTATGATAATATTATGGTGTTTTGTAAACGTAAGGGAAAAGACTTGAATATTTCGCGGGCGCCTTTACCGCGGAGAGGGACTCATCGTCGAGGAATACATTTTGACAAACAATAAAATATAATGTAATGTTATGTTTTGCTCTCACGTCACCCTTCGGCCGAAAACCTCTATTAAAAAATACGACGGCGACCTATACGAGACGAGCGTGTACACGATAATATATTTTCAACGTTTTCGTATAATATACTTTATACTATTATAACGTTATTATTATTTATTATTATTACGTTATTATTATTGTTATTATTATTATTATTATTATAATACGCTCGGCTATACCGAGTCGCGCGGCGCCCGGAGACATGATCGGCCGTCCTCCCCGCCGCAGCAGACCGCAAGAGCAGACCCCCTCGCGCCCGTTTATTAACGGCGCTACTCCGGGGGGCACTCGGTAACGAGACGAGATGTTTAGATGTATATAATAATATTGTTATTACGACGCGTATACATTATTATTGTTATTAATATTATTATTATATATTGTGTGAGCGCGTGTATAACCCGCGCGGACGCGATGTGGAAATCCACCGGTGCGCGTGTACAATACATAAATATATTACATATCATATTTATAATACACGTCGTCGTTGTTGTGTGCGCGATGTAATACACGTGTTGTTTTTTCGGGGACTCGGACACAATCCGTCAGCGGTCCGGTATACCTATTATGCTCTTACATGATGTACATGAATACATATATTATATACACGCCGTCGGAGAGCTGCGGAGCTACAGTAATAATGATGATACGATAATAGACGCGTGTGAGTATAACTACGTAAAATAATATATTACATGGAGCGGCGGCGAGTTTGACGACGACAATAATAACGAAAAAAAGGACTTGTCAGTGAAAAAAAAACGTGCACGGCTATGCACATGGTGTTGTGCGCAATGATAGGCGTATCTGGCTGATGCCCGAAGGGGCTGAGCCCCAAAATATGTTCAGATGGAGAACATTGTCGGATTGCTACTAGGGCACGGATGATTTGCTATTGAACATGAGCTTTTTTTGACTGATTTTTATCAAATCGGATCATTCCCGAACCTTTTTAAAATGGTTCTTCAAATACACGGGCTACAACATTTCGCGTTTGTTCAGTGACATGTGACAGCAGTCGTTTTCGGCTATGCGACGAATCAGAAATTGTCTAAGATAAACTCCATGTTATAAGACAGGTTTTTGTTATTGGCAATTTATTTTGGCTAGCTATTATGAACATGGAAAGAGATATTGATTTAGATAAAAGGATCGTAAGCCCTGTAGATGGTAGGCCAAATAGAGCTTTATAGAGCTTATCCCGCGTCGTCAATTAGCGAATTGCAGGCGCACATAATTTGACAGACTGATGGCTACGGGATCGGGGGCAGTATACATTTTAGACTGTTGTTTTCACATTTCACTCAAATTCTTGTCAGAAAACGCACGCGCTTCGGGTCTAGTCGGGATACACAGACACACATACACAAACATAGTCTAGACGCCCGGGGCCAAAGTGGTTCGGTCTCTCTCTCCTACACCGCGTCATCACTCACTCAAAGTAGCTCTCACACACACACACTCTCTCATTCTATATCCCTGTCCCTCTCTTTTACACACAAACACTCTCTCTCTATTTCTCTCCGTCGTATACGTGTATAATATATGATGCCGGTGGTCTAAATCATATGTTGCGCACCGCATTCTTCTCAACCACCGCTGCTGCCGCCGCCGCCGCCACCACCACCGTCCTTTGTTTCGCCAACTCGATATTTCTCCATGCTCGCGCGCGGGAGAGAGAGAGATCTCACACACGCACGCGTACGTTCTCGGTAGGTCGCTCACTTGGGGATGTCGGGTACGTGACTGATTTTTTTGTATCAACGAAATATAAATAATTATAAGAAATATGCGTCACGCCATTGGAAGGAGAAAAATATGTGCCTGTGATTACTTAATAAATCTCGACGATATGGGACCGCCGCCATCGCCGAGTTATAGTATACATAAGTGTGTGTGTGTGTGTATACTATAAAACAATGCGACGCAGCGCCATAAATTTCCACGCAGACGCGCGAGCATGCACCGGTACTGGTTAGTGGCAGAGTCGTAGTCGGTGGCGGTGGTGGTGGTCGTCGGTAACGGTGCAGTGGCGGTGCGACGGTGTTATGGTAGCGCATATAGCGTTGGGAGCCGCCGCCGGACGAGAGATAAACGATCGAGAGAACGTCGTGTGACAACTGACAACCCCCGGACAAGAGGGGAGGTGGTGACGTACCGCCGAGCCGTTCTCCTCCTCCAGCGGGACGAAGACATCATAATCGGCGGCGGCGACGGAATACCACTGATGAATCTCCGCCCTTATACCACTACTACTCCTCCTACCCACCACCCACCGATGGTATAATGCTCGCGGGAAACGATACATAATAATATTATATATAGAGGTCGTCTTCTTCTCGTCGGTGGCGCAAAACAAATTAAAACCACCGCCGCCACCACCACAGCCGCTCTCATGATCGGGGGGGAAAAAAACGAGCTTGGCAATAACAACTCGCCGTCCGTGTGTAGATCGTACACGGGAAAGAGAGAGTGAGATGGAGAGAGAGAGAGCAAAAAACGGATTCGAATGTGTGTGTGCTGTAGTGTTTGTTTTCTTATCGAGAGATCCAAGTGAAACCGCAATTCCGGACACTATACATATTATAATATTAGGTAGGTACCTACACGTCGTTTTTCTGTTGTTGCGTATATTATAATATATTGTATGGGTCGACGGGCAACGGTCAACCGGGCCCGGGGTACAAGTTTTTTCAGCGGCAATAGTCCGTCGGCCGGGTATATATATTATCATTATATTATATACTTTTTAGGTATTTTTTTTTTTTTTTTACTCGAATATTGCGCCGTACGTATATTGTATGGCCATGGGATGATCAAACGATAGACGACGGTGCACACCGCCGCCTCTCTCGTCGGAGAGGTGTATAGGATAACCTACCTACCACTTTCCTGTACCCAACCTAACTGTTGCGAGTATCATATAGGCGCAGGCAGGGGTCGTCTCGTTTACACGCGTCGTTTGGGCTAAAATATCGTCTCCCGGTTTCGTCCAAAAAACGTCCGTACCGCATACCAGCACCTCCACCGCCGTGTATTAGAATATAATACGTATATATATGCATAGAAATTATGTATATGTATATATATATATATATATATATATATTTATATTACCATATTATATCATGTATATCAACCACGCCACCGCCGCAGCCGTCTCGGATAGCCCGTGTATAGAGGCCAGCCACATAATTTCGTCGACTTTCGAAATATCGTTTCGCCGCGGTTCTCTTTGTACTTGTCCCGCGCGCGTAAACCGATTTCGTGAATGAAACGTTTGCATAATAATAATAATAATAATATCGTAAGCCCTAAACCGTATACGTATATATAAACAGTACACGGTGCACGGAGCACCGACAGCGTTATATTGAATATCCCGATATTGTATTTCACAAACGATTTGACCAGAATATATTCCGGTCGGCGATTAATATCAAACTCTCGTCTCGGACGAGAACAGGTGGGAGGGCGAATAATATTGTCTAATAACGTCGCGTTCGATTGTATTCCGATAGTTTCTCGTCGGAGTGTATAATACACTCGTCGACCACACATATAATAATATATATTATATAGAAATAATTAAATTCCTCGGGAGCATCACCGAACGATGTTTTTGTACACACATGCCACGGCACTGGTTCAGTTACCATTCGTGTGCGTTGCTTATGTGACGATCGTACATTTTGCAAAGAGGTGGAATTGAAGTAAGACACGAGCTCGAAAAAAATAATTTAATTTACACTTTGAATTCGACGCAATTCGAACAGTGTTTATGATGTGAAACGACGACTAGTCTTCGTGTTTTCGTATTTATCATCTTTCGAATCATTTTTTTTTTCTCGACGCAAAATAGTTTATGGCCTATAGGGTCTTGACCTTCGGGGTTGTTATCGCATGATTATCTAAGCCACTGTTACCCACCAATGCACAGGGTTTGGTTACAGCAAAAAAACCTATCGTCTTGTGGTGGCAGGGTGAGCCATTAGAGGGTGGTTGGGTGGGAACACGGTTGGGCACGGAATGTTGAAGAACGATGGGGTCGACGGTGACGTAGTGGAGGGGGGCTGAGAACGACCTAGGGGAAAAGCGATCGTGTGCACATTCGTATAATAATAATAATTATAAAACATAATAAATCCCATGCGTGGCCCCCGCCGCTGCTGTAGACCATGCGCAAACATCACGGACGGTTGTCGCGTCAACCGGTGGGGAAACAACGGGTGGAGGGCGGTGGCACTACTGCATGGATGTAAAACGCACGTACACGGTAGATGAAAAAAAAACGGTCGTTAGCCAGGAAAAACAGAAAAAAAGCACATCGAATAACACTTAAAATCGTACTGTCGTCGATATATATACAACGACAAGCCCCTCCCTCCCATGTATACATCAATCCCGTGTACATACGATGGACTATATAATATATAGTATTATAATTGTGAGAGTGAAAATAATGAAGTCACTAGTTCTCCCCAAAGGCCCCCCGAGGACGACGTCTGTCGGGCACGCGAAAATGTAAGCCCTTGCGCAAGCACGTCTCGTGTGTCTGTGTGTGGTTGGAAGTCGCCCTTGGACCCGTTGCCG